TTTAATAGTTTGTTTCCCATACTGAAAGGGATGTTTCCCAGGTTTTATGTTTGGGCCAAAATGAAGAAAATAAAATATGTGATTCTTTCAATAAGCAAATACACAGAGACTGATTATAAATGAGACTTTCCTTTTAATTCCAGATAGGCAATAGTCTTCCAGGAAAGTCTTATTTTTCTTACTAATTAGACTATCCCCAGGTTGCACTAATGGGAAACTATACTTAAGTGAGAGATGTTGTGCATCTGAAGAGGCAGGCAATTAGCTTTAGCATGGCAATAAAACTGATTCTCCAAAGTTTATACAAAATCTTTAATGAGGTAGTTGGGATGGATGCAAATGGGATCCAAATATATATCAAGTTGCTTACTAGTATAATCCAAATACATACAGATGCTTTAAAGAGGGAATCTTGTATGTTTAGCAACATGATCTCATTCTGTAAATGCCAGTCCTTTGATGAGCTCTTGATGGTGATTCAGAGCAGATCCCAGCCATACTGATATATTTAAGCAACCTATAAGGTTTCCTATATTCCTCATAGTAAAGAGGAGCAGAGATCAAAGACTGACTTTAAAAAAGTGGAAAGGAATACAGCTGAACAGTTGTCTTAAAAAGTCAATGTTATTTCTAAAAGTCTCTATGTATTTATATCTATTTGCATTAATGATAGAGCAGGAGTAAGAACTCTCCAAAATAGGTTTTGGAAACAAATGATAATGTTAGCTATCTATTCTCCTTATACGATTTTAGCATCTTAAATAAACTATAATCTATTACAAGTCAATAAGATTAAATGATATAGGAAAAATAATAGGTTTCTTTTAAAAAAATTATCTGAAAAGACAATGGCAACATTGGTTTAATGTTTTTTTTACTAATCCATTTCACAAAGCCATATTGTCATCTCCGGCTAACAATCTATCACTTGTGGTCAACTTCCAGATTTCAATAATGTCTCCATTGCTTCATCCACTTTATTTATCCAGTAAGCCAGGCAGAACTATGTTGACCTGTCTGGTAGAAGAAGCCAATCAGTCATGGTCAATCTGCTATTCAACAGCAAATCAGAAGTTACATTGCTGGTCTTTGAAATATATGAAGCTTATTAAAGACTGATGACATCAGTCTTTAATAGGCTTCATATATTTCAAAGGCCGAATACTTAACTTCCTGAGTTATGAGCTGCTAGCCTATAATAAAAACCCTTATATTTGGAACAATTGAAATCATGTGCATGTCTGTCTCAGCATTATCTCTACCTCTGAACTTCTTGTGAGATTTTAAGATTTCCCATACACAAGAAAGGAATAAAGAGTTGGGCATAAAACAGATCAAGGACTATCAACTAGGTTTTGGTCCTGCAATGGAAAGTAATTGGCGACATGTGTATTGAAAGAGCCCTGCCTTTGTGTAGCCTATTGTTTTGTAATAAAAGCCCCCAAAACAGGTAATTGTAATGCTGATGGCATAATTCCAACCGCTCATTGGAAATGTGGACTGATAATAAAGTGCAATGCTTTTTATTGAATCTTGGTGCTACCCATTGTTCACCTTGGGTAGTCAACAAAGGACCTGTCTGATGTTCCCTGCGTCCCAAAATGCACAAAATGCACAGAATATTAATCAAGTTTCTAGGTCTCACCCAAACATCATCTGGCAAGTCACCGCAAGGAATAACATGGTGACTTGATTATTTCCATATTCTCAGCATCATATTATACTTGTTTGGTTTATAAGCTTTAGAGCTACTTTAGATTTTGAGTAGCTTATAAAGTTAGCAAAATAAGCATTTTTCCCTAGGGAAGGTCAGGAGAGGTCTTTGCAATCATTGCTCCTATTAATATGTTATATTCCAGTCAGAAGTCTTAAACAGTGAAGGTTTTCAAAGCATAAGTCATAGTTTTGATGAATGAGGTTTTCTTTTAATAGCTGAACAGGAAATGGAAATCAAAGCAAAGAGATGTAAAAAAAAAGCCCATCCATCTGTGTAGTAAAGAAAAAGAACTACCTATTATTGATATGATTTCACTGTATTTTCCATATTAATAACGAGAAATGGATTTCCTCTGGGAGGAGTGGTTCAGCTTGCAAATAAACTTTAAATTGCATTCTAGGCTGAGCAGAAAGGAACATTGCAAAACCATACATCTTTGGAAATATATGTCTGGGTATATGTGTATAACACACATCTATAGGTTATTTGCAAATCATGTATTTAGTAAAAGGAAGGGGAATTACGATTTTTAAGCTATTGCTCTCAAAATAGATATGAAATGCCTACTTTTTACTTCCATAGAGAAGTGATGGAAAGCAAAACTAACATCTCTGCTTGGGGATAGAAAGACCTGACGGATGTCCTTGCATCTATTTGTTGTTGAAGTCTATAATAAGCTTGCAACTTTGCTGCCCAAGGACCCTCCGGCAATTTAAGGTCATATTATCAGGAATGATGAACATAGTTCCATTAATTTTCCATATCATTTTTTGTTCACTCTGGCAGGTGCCTCTGGCATTTTGCATATCTGGTTCCTAAGGTATTCTTGTACTACATTATAACATAATAATGTTAATTATTGTTGTTATTGTTAATTGTCAATTAGACATTACTGGATTTTAAGTGTAGCATCCACTTAGAACCTGTGCAATATTCAAGTGCATTTTAGAAAAGTGGAAAAAAAATCTCACTCACTCACAATATATTTCACAATCTGATTGATGAATTGATATTTGTCCTGATTACGAGCACCAATGGCACTTTGAGAGCAAATGGCCCTGGTAGAGCAATGCAGAGATGCAGTTCCATCATTGGGGACAAATAGGGCTTTTAAAAGCAGAATAACAGCTGTATGCAGTAATGCTAAGAGAATATTTCTGCCTTGCTCAGCACTATTAAGCCTGTAGGATTTCATTGGATAGCAGCCATAACATAATTTAAATACCATGTCATATTATAGATAACATGATGTAGTCAGGGCTTTCCAATATTTCTTCAAAATTGTTGGGAACCTCTTAAAACTTTGTCAGTGCAAATATTGAAAGACAGCTTTAAGAAAAGTCTGCCTACTACTCAGTGTGCAGCTTTAATGAAATATTGGCCTTAGGGAACAGTTGACTGTAGGGATATTCAATCTTACTTGTTTGAATTAACAGCTCTAATGCAGTGTTTCTCAGCCCTGGCAGCTTTAACATGTGAACTTCAACTCCCAGAATTCCCTAGCTAGTATGCTGGCTGGGGAACTCTGGAAGTTGAAGTTTAGACTATTAAGTTGCTAAGGTTGAGAAACACTTCTCTAATGCATCCAGAATCCATTGCAGTGGATGCTGGACATACATTGGTTCTTTAGCTGATACAAAGGAATTCTTCAAAGTAGATCTGTAAACTTCCTGCCTCCAGCCTATAGACATTAATTTTTAGAGCTGTAAAATGTATCTTTCCACTTTATTCAATGTCATTTACAACTGTGCACATAATGTTTAGATTTCAAAATCTGACTTTGACAAGTTAGGATTTGCTAATTTTTCTCAGAACTGAATCTATGGCAGAGTTTAAAAACCCGTAGTTTAATTTAATCTATAGGAAATTCAGTGGTAGTTTTACTTAAGGAACAAACCAACCAACCAACCAAACAATACTTTTAAATATCTTTGCATGACATTAGCAGTCCTTATAAACTAATTCTTTATTATTTCAAACAACATTAGGAAAATAAAAGAAAAAAAAAGGATTCACACACATGGATTAACAATAAACTATAACTTTAAAATTAAATGAGAAAGGAGAAATGAGTACAAGCATGCCTGCACATATACATACACACTCTTTATGGTTTTCCTTTTCACAGTAAACTACTTTATAAATAAATAAATAAATAACTTTATTGTCATTGTACGTGTATACACAGTATACCCATACAACGAAATTCACTTAACATTCAAAGACCAGTCCAACACACATAACAATCCCCAAACACACTCCCACCCACCACAATTCTCCACCCCTAAACCACCCAAACATCCATACAACAGACCAAGTAATACTGTCCAACAACTCACTGATGGTGGCCCTTTAGTTCATTGTTGAGTGCAATTATAGCTCTGGGATAAAAATTATTCAGAAAATGTGTGGTCGGAGTTTTAATTGTTTTGTATCTTCTGCCAGAAGGCAACAGTCCAAAAAGATTGTAAGCAGGATGGGGAGAGTCTCTGAGAATGTTATTCAACTTTCTCAAACAGCGAGATTCAAAGATTTATGCAAAACAAGAAGGTGAAGTTCGTTGGTGAGAAAAGTAAGGTCCTGTACTTAGGAAAAACCAAGCACAAGGGTACAGAATAGGCAGTACCTGGCTCAATGGTACCTGTGAGAGGGATCTAGGAGTCCTAGTGGACCACCACTTAAGTATTAGACAGCAGTGTGCTACAGCTGATAAAAAAGCCAATGCAGACCTAGGCTGCATCAATAGGGGGATAGCATCAAGATCACAGGAAATGGTAGTACACCCCTATACTGAACTAGTGAGGCTATACTTGGAATACTACATTCTGGTCACCAAGGTACGAAAAAGATGCTGAGGCCCTAGAAAGAGTGTAGCGAAGATCAACAAAGACGATAAGAGATCTGGAGGCCAAATCATATGATGAATAGCTAAGGGAGCTAAGTATGTTTAGCCTAAAGAAGAGAAGGTGTAGGGCAGTGGTGGGTTTCAAATTTTTTTACTACCGGTTCTGTAGGTGTGGCTTGGTGGGCGTGACTTGGTGGGCGTGGCAGGGGAAGGATACTGTAAAATCTCCATTTCTTCCCGATCAGCTGGGACTTGGGAGGCAGAGAATAAATGGGGGCGGGGCCAGTACTACTGGTTCTCTGAACTACTCAAAATTTCTGCTACCGGTTCTCCAGAACTGGTCAGAGCCTGCTGAAACCCACCTCTGGCATAGGGGTGACACAATAGCTGTCTTCCAATACTTGAAGGGCTGTCACAGGGAAGAGGACATTGATTTATTTTCCATAGCACTTGAAGGGAGAACAAGAAGCAATGGGTGGAAGCTTGTCAGAAAGAGATTCAACCTGGAAATAAGGATGAATTTCCTGAAAGTGAGAACAATTATTAAATGTAACAGCTTGCCTCCTGGATTTGTAGTGCTCTGTTGCTGGAGGTTTTCAGGAAAAAACATTGGACAACAATTTGACTAGGATGGTATAATGACTCCTGCCTTGGGAGACTAGAAGACCTCCAAGGTCCTTCCAGACCTATGATTCTATGATAAAGGAGTTAGAAATAATACACCAAAGGCAGAAATAATAAAACAGCTGAAATTAGTTTATTTCTATACCAAAATATACTATACCAAGATATTCATTTCTATACCAACATATATAAATTCATCTACCTAGTACTAATTTTTCACTACTTATGTATAATTTTCAATGGTTTACCCCATCACAAACCAATCAAACTCTTGATTAAATCATACAATCTACATAACATTTGATACAAATAATTTGGTTTTCAGCCAATAGCAGCACATCATCTACATACAAAAATAGACATATATTTACATCCCAATCAATAAGCCTCTAAGGTCACCAGTCTTTCCTTATATATCAATACAAGGGAGCATCATTTTATCTTTGTCTTATTCCCTATTCAGTACTGAATCACAAAATTTTCCATATTTTTTCACACATCATACTTACTTCAGTCACCAGCTTCATACCATCTGTCAAACTTTTAAAGTATATTCGCTTTACCATACACAGTTTGTACATCAACAAATATACAATAAACATTGCCACATTGGTACATTTCTCATTAACCTACTGAAGAAATATAATTTGGGCTGATCCTCCTATTCTGAATAAGGTCAAACTGTACTTCCCACTTTTTGCTTATTATCATTTCTTCTACTTTTTTGATGAGAATTCTGTAAATAGGTACCTTCCAGTGGTGGTATCCAACCAGTTCTGTCTGGTTCGGGCGAACCGGTAGTGGTGGCAGTGGGAGGCTCTGCCCACCCACCCGGATGTAACCATGTCTCATTTTTGACACTGCGCATGCGCGGAAGGCCCTGCACATGGATGGAGGTGTCCCATTTTTGACACTCTGCACATTTGCAAACTGGTAGTGAAGGTAAGTGAATACCACCCCTGGTACCTTCCCAGGCACACTCAGCAAACAATTCCTTCTTGCATTAGCGGAACGCTAATGGCATTTTTCCAGACAGGTTGCCAAATCAATTATAGTTTCAGATTTATATCCATTTCTTTGCTATAATGTATGCACAGGGGTCCACAATCCCCCAGTCTGTAGACTGGCACCGGTCCGCAGCATGCCAGAAACTGGGCTGCGTAAACAAGCAAAGCCCCATCCAGGGAATGCAGGTAGCACATAAAATCACGCCTGCTTTGGTCTGTGGAAAAACCTGTCTTCTTGGAACTGGTCCCTGGTGCCCAAAGGTTTGGGACCACTGCACTAGATTTATGTTTAGGTCACATATCCAAAACACATCATTTTGTAAGCAGATATCTCACTAAATACTATTCTCATTCAGTCTACACCTTTAATTTAGTTTGTTCACTCATGCTCTGTACAATTACTCCTATTGCCTTCCAAATGGCAGTTTTACCATATGTCATGGTCTTCACCAAATGGGTCCATATATATTAACCCTGCTGCATTATAGTTTTGATCAGTTGGGTCTCTTACATAAAACAATTTAGTAGAGTAGAATAGCGTAGAGTAGCAGAGCGGAGCAGAGCGGAGCAGAGCAGAGTAGAGTAGAATAGGATTCTTTATTGGCCAAGTGTGATTCGACACACAAGAGATTTTTCTTCATTGTATAAACTCTCAGTGTACATGCAAGCAACAAGTGATAAATCATGATCATAACAATAAAATGGATTTATAAATCATAATTTAAATTAATTTTTAAATATAATTTAGTATTTGCTATAGCTACTCATTCTATTAGGCTCTGGGCAGCTTACAAAATCCAGAAACAATAAAAAAAATAAATACACCTAAGCACACATATATAGGCAGCCTGATCCAAAACAATCAAATGATAAACCATACCATACAGGTATAACAGATGCTCCACAAAAACCTCACTAAATCCATTAACTTCAAGTCTAGTTAACAGAGCCAGATTTTAAGGGCTTTTTGAAACCCCTGGAAAGTGGGCACCATTCATATCTCTGGGGAGCTGCTGGAGGTAGGGGGACCAACAGAGAAGATCTGCCACCAGAGGACAATGTTTAATTGAGGGAACCTGGAGCAGACTATTTGTGAACTAGGTGGGCAGAGATAATTGAAGATAGGTGGTCCTCAGATAACCAAATCCTGGTTATATTTTATATTTTAGTAATATAGGGAACTAAGTTCCCAGATTTAGACTCTCCATCCCACAAGCAGCATCCCCTGCTAACGATAAGGATAGCGCACCTTAACCAATACAATGAAAGCACAAGTAAAATCTATACACGAACCTTACTCATGGGACTCTGTGTAAGCTATTATCTGTACCAGGGGTGAGTTCTACTTACCTTTACTACCGGTTCACAGCGGGGCCGCGCACGTAGAAGCATTTTGATGACGTCGGGGTCGCTGGTTTTACTACTGATTCTATAGAACCGGTGCGAACCGGGGGCAACCTACCACTGATCTGTACCTTAGACACTAACTTGCAATTGTAGTCTAGTCCCCTTAATTAGGAGGTATATGCATAGTACTGACACATATTCAAAACAGAAAAAGCAATTCCGAAGAGTTGATTAGTATCCTCTAAGAACATTTTCCTCATTTCTTCATTGAAAAACTGATTCAAATGTTTACAAACAACACATACAAAGGCTCTCTTACCATAATAAAAGCTCCCAAACAAAACAAAAACCTGCAACAATTTCTGGATTATCTTAAATTTTAATTAGTTAATTAATATATTAATCAGGGTTTTTTTTTTCTTTACCTAAAATAAGCAGGAAATAAAACCCCCAAATACTTTAGGTACTAATAAATTGGAAAATTACCCAAGATGGAAACTTTCCCTAAGGTCACAATTTATTGTAGTAGCAATAAAAGAAAAAAGAGGTAAAATAAGGATAGTAACCTGAATTTATGGATAGCTGCTGTAAAAAAGAATCATCGCTTAATTTGTTTAGGTCTAAAAACCAATAGTTTAATAGACTTCACCTTCCTCTGCCAATATCCTGGTCTAATACGGTATAATAATAATAAAAAACCTTTTTAGAAGCTTAAAACTTGCTTGAGTCCATATTTAGTTGAAGCCAGAAATCTGTATTGCTCAAGAGATGAATGGGATATGTAATCTTCTTCTTAGAGATTTTATTTTAATTAACTGCTGCTTCTTTTTGTATAGAGTGTATATAGTAATATGGCCTTGGATAAATGCTTCCTTGGTGTTTTGAATCAAAAGTGGTGATGCAATCAATTTCCTGTTCACATGAGAAAATTCAATTACTTGGTGTTCTATCTTAATAAAATCTTTATTACTCAACAAAGGTAATTCAGAGACCATTTAAAATATGCATTTAACTTTTTTTTTTTTGTCTGTATTGTATAAACTTCACAGTGTAAGGGCTGAAGCTGGTGAAGTAGAAACCAGCACTTCTGGGGCTAGGCAGAATCATTATGAAAACACTGATGTGTCCCAAGAGAAGACCATAAATAGAATGGTCAAATTTTCACTTACTCGAAAAGATGAAGGGGAATATAATCTATTTGTCTGTCTGTCTTGACTGCTTGTCTGTCCTGCCAGCCAGCCAGCCAGCCAGCCAGCCAGCCAGCCAGCCAGCCAGCCAGCCAGTATAAACCCGTGGAATGGCTTGCCTTCAGAAGTTGTGAGGGCTCCATCATTGGAGGCTTTTAAAAAGTGACTAGACAGCCACTGTCTATATAGGGTCTCCTGTTTGTGCAGGGGAGTATATTAGAAGACCATCATGGTCCCTTCCAACTCTCTTATTCTGTTCTTTTCTGCACCACAGCTAAATTTCTGTGTTCTGCAGTGGACAGATTTTTTGTCTGGCCAACCACTATATGATCGTTGTATTTTGTGCAAGATAGCCATGCGGATTTTTGCTGTAAGCAAGTTCCTGAATATAAACAAATGAGGTTTATTATTGTGCTTGGTTAAAGTCTGGCTTTATAGGACAGTGTTCCTGCAATAGTAGCATCAATGTCATACTTACATACATTCTGTGTCTGTGTACATGTGAATGTGATCTTTAGCATGAAGTACCACGAAATAATTTAGACAAAATGACAGCTGTGGACAGAAAAACAAAACCTCTGTTCATTTTGGGAAGGAATAGTAGACCATCAGATATACATTAAATTAAATTTGCATCTACAATATCTCTCCCTCTCTCCCTCCCTCCCTCTCTCTCCCTCTGTCTTTCTGTTAATCTGCCAATCTGCCAATCTAACAATAAGTATTAAAATGCCAGACTTCATCTCATACTCCTTCCCCCCCCCATTGCATATATGTGCATTAGATTGCACTGTACTGGATTTGCAAAGGGTGGAACAACTGCATCCAACCAAAAGGTGTTTGCAAATTGTTTCCCATTGTCCCGGAAAGAAGCATTGACTGAGCTGCTCTAAGCCTCTGTTTTAGTCTAATCAACATCTTATACTGCAAATGCCTAGAAAATAGAATGAACGAGATGCTTATCAAATGTGCAGATGACACCAAGCTGCAGGAGTTGATTAATAGCTTAGAAAATATAAATGAAAGTTTGAAATGACTTGAACATGGAGCAAAATCCAACAGGATCATGTTGTGCTCTGACAAATGTAAATTGCATCTGGGTAAGAAAAATCAAATACATGGGCAACGGCAGTCAGATTTTGTTGGGTGTCAGTGCATGTGAGAAAGATTTAGCTTATAGTGGACTACTAGTTAAACATAAGAAAGTAGTGGAATTCAGTGCAATTTGGGGCTGCATTAACAGAAGCATTCAATCACAGTCACAGGAGGTGATGGTTCTATTTTCCTCACCATTGGTCAGGAATATTGTACCCAGTTTTGAGTCATCACCCTTTAAAAGGTATATGCTAAAACTGGAAT